GATTTCTCTTCTAATATTTTGTTTCCTCTGCTTACTGTGGGGAAAATTAACTATTTTCCACTTTCCTAAGATTGATTCTTAGTGTACTAATTTTATATTATTCCCCTTTTTGTGAAAGGAAGCATTTTCCTATGCATTCAATGCAATAATTTTCCTTGTAAGGGTTGCATTTATTTCAGAAACAGTCTACCACTCAAAACCTAGCAGGAATGTACTTTTTGCATTAGGTGACATTTATCAAGTCCTGGAAGTATCTTCTGCTTCTCTTACCACAATGGTTTAGAAAACTTTAAAAGAAGGAAGGGAGTTTAGGTATTTTACAGATTTGGGTGCCTAAGTGGATTAGAGAAAACACTGGATCTGGGGATATTAGATTAACCTTCTGAATAATAATTTACTACTTATAGAAAGGCTTCATAACGTTGGATTTGACAAAGACTTCTTGAATATGATACCAAAAGCATAGGCAATCAAAGAAAAGATAGATAAACTGGTCTTCGTCAAGTTAACTTTGTTCATCAAAGAACACTATCAAAAGAGTGTGAAGACAAACACAGACTCAGAGAAAATATTTGGATTCATAACTCCATTTAGAGTTAAATCCAAAACGTATAATGAATTCCCACAACTCAACAACATCACCCAAAAACAACAAACTGGTTAAAAAATGGGAAAGATTCAAATGAATGTTTGACTGAAGAAGGTAAAAAAATGGTGACTTAGCACTTAAAAACAAGCACAAATATCAGTGATCATTAGAATAATGCAAATGCAAACCACAGTGAGACCCTACCTTCCTACCCATTAGGATAGTTATTTTAAAAAAAATAGCAGTTGTTAAGTATAACAGAGGATGTGGAGAAATTGGGAGACTTGTGCTCTTCTTATGGGAATGTAAAATGATGCAGCCACTGTGAAAAATATTTAAAAGATAATTTACAATATGATCCAACAATTCCACCTCTGGATATGTACCCAAATGTAATTACAACTGGAAATGAAAGAGAGATTTGTCCCCACTGATCTTAGCAGCAGCAATCACAAAATCCAAAGGTAGAAGCACCCAAGTGTCCACTGAGGAACCAGTGGGAACCAAAATGTGCTTGATACATAAAATGGGATATTATTTATGCTTTAAAGGAATGAAAATTCTGACACATGCTGCAACATGAGTAAAATTTGAAGACATTATGCGGGTAAACTAAGCATTTCATAACTATATAAAAAACTATGATTCCACTATTATAAGGTATCTAGAAAACACAAACTCATAGTGGCAGAAAGTTTCTATGTGTTATCATATGGGTGGTTGTTAGGGACAGAAACTTGACGATGGGGAATTATTCTTTAGTGATACAAATTCCGGGTTTTTTTTTTAAATTAAATCATAACTATGTACATTAATGCAGTCATGGGGTACAATGTGCTGGTTTTATATACAATTGGAAATATTTTCATCAAACTAGTTAACATAAACTTCATGACATTTTCTTAGTTATTGTGTTAAGACATTTCTATTCTACATTTAGTAAATTTCACATGTACCCTTGTAAGATGCACCATAGGTGTGGTCCCACCAATTACCCTCCCTTCACCCATCCACAAATTCCAGTTTTGTAAGATGAAAAGTTCTGGTGATAATGGTATGGATTGTGTAATAATGTGATTATATTTAATGCCACTGAACTTCATTCTAAAGAACAATTACTAGTTAATTTTATGTTATCTATGTCTTACCACAATGAAATACTTCAAAACGTTAACATTAATATCATCTGGAAAGTAAAATAGAATGAGAATAATTTAAATAATGTTTATTGAATAAGGATATCCTGAAAACTATAATACAGGGAAACTTCAAAAGAGCCCCAGTGAAAGCATACATGGAGTATGGGGTAGTAAGAAGCTGTGTATTGAGAGACCTTAATCTGCGCAGGTTCTTTTCACTGGAGTCCCCTCTAGCATCTTCCTGATTTGGGTTATTCCCCAGTGACTTCCATGAACTGTTTTCTTGTGGAAAGATTCTCCAGATTAAAGCATGTAATCCATGGGAAATGAGACTGATTAAGCTAGTCCACCATCACCACAAGGAGGAGTTTCCCCACTACATCATTAACTTAGAAAAAGGACCCACTTCTGTCTAGCTCCAGAGCTCCTTTCCCAGAGTGTGTCACTAGAAGCAGGGATGGACAGATACTTTTCCTGATTTGAATGTGCTGACCTTAGTTTTTCTGAAAATCCTTGACACAATGAGGGATGAAGGACCTGACCACATCTGGGTCTGAGGATCCAGACAGAGACCTTTCTTCCTCAGGACCTACAACTGGACTCTGGACCTTCCAGAAACTGATTCTAAGAAGAGTAGAGATTAAAAGTGGGATTCTGGGGGAAAGGAGGACCCTCTCTTTTTTAAATTTCAGGTTAATATGCAGGAAGATACAATCAAGTTACATTGTTTGTATTTGTTAGGTAACATCCATGTTGTAGTTGAGTCCTTCCCCCAGTTGGCTTGGCATAAACCTCTACATTGTACCATTAAGGTGGGTGCTTATTGAGCCCTCTCTCTGCTTCCTCCTCTCCTCTTCTTGAATTTAATTGTGTACTCAATACTAACGTTTTCTTTTTCTTTCTTTCTTTTCTTTTTTTTTTTTTTTTTTGGCAGAAACAGAGTCTCACTTTATCACCCTCGGTAGAGTGCCGTGATGTCACACAGCTCACAGCAACCTCCAACTCCTGGGCTCAGGCGATTCTTGTGTCTCAGCCTCCCAAGTAGCTGGGATTACAGGTGCCCACCACAATGCCCTGCTATTTTTTTGTTGCAGTTTGGCCAGGGTCCGGTTTGAACCCGCTACCCTCAGTATATAGAGCCGGCCGGCACCTTACACACTGAACCACTGAACCACACTGAACCACCCTCAATACTAATTTAAAACTAGTAGATAAATAACTGCAGATCAACATGAGAAAGCTTCTCTTTTGTAATTTTAGAAATAGCTATTTTGGGTTCATGGGAAATGAACATGGAGGACAGCCTGTGTCCAAGGTGATTGTCTGAGGAGAGGAACCATACCCTATGCATAGAGATCAGGGAGCAAATGCTCCCTGACAAATGTTTCATCAGGATCACCATCTGCCTGAGGATTCCTATCTAGAAATAGACTCTTAATCATAGTTGGGAGATTATCTGCTTCATGTCTGTAAGCTCTTCTCTGCAGAAGATGAGGTTTCTTTTACCCTCATGGCTAAATGACTGTGGACTTTTGTTTCCAGGATCAGAATCTGCCTCTGAGAAGAAGAAAAGGCTCTTTCCAACATTTCTTGTAGATTTTTGATTCCCTTTATGTAAGTGTCCAGGTCTTTATTTTCACACATCTTGAAGTGTTGATACCTCTTTGTGTTGATAAAGAGAAGTGATTTCATTTTCTTTCTCATTAATATACACATTTTATCAACAATGATATGGAATTATAAATATTCCTTAGCTCTGTTCTCTGGGAAACCTGAGCCCTCTGGCACCATGCTAACAATGAGCATAACTAATGCACACATCTTGACTCTGAGCCTTGCTTTCAAATAAAATACTCAGAACTCCTCAGAGAAATGGTGGATTAGAGATCCCAGGCAGAAAATTTGCAAGGGGAGCTGAGAATATAACTGCTATTTTAAAAAAAACTGAAACAAGCAAATAAACAAAGAAAAAAGTTCTCAAGGATTGAATGGGTCATGGAAAGGGACATAGGATCTAGCCATTTAGGAGACACTTTGAGCACAAAATAAAGGATAATAGTATTGGATTATAACCTATTGGAAGCAATTGAATCCATGATTACTTATTGATATTAATGAATACATGAGTAACTTTAAATTTCATGAGGAATAGATAATTACCAAATTTCAAAGTATCTACCCACAACATAATTTTAAATGACACCATTGAAAAGAGTAACTTTCCAATGGAAGGTATAGCTAGCCAGTATCCAAATCTATTGACAGTAATCATATCAACTTCATTCACAATGGAACAAATTGAAAATGTATGTCACCCCAAAATGAGAAGAAGAGTGTTACGTGCTTGTATTCTGGTCGGAGGCACATATGCTGAACTTAATCATTAGGAAATATCAGACAAATTTAAATTGAGAGACACTTTATATATATTCAGCCTACACTCTGAAAAAGTGTCAAGAAATAGTTAAAGAAATGTTCCAGACTGAAGCCTACTAAGGAGACATGACAGCCAGTTGTACCACAGATCTGTGGATTCTGAAGAGAATTCTGGATGACACATAAAACATATTTTGGGCACAGAAAATCAACACCTTTACATAGTGAATTCAAAATAACACAATGAACACATAGGAAAAACCCAGAAAGAAGCTAAGGGAAAAAACACCTTAGTTCTAAAGAAAAAGAGTAAGAATGACATTGGACGCCTCTTCAGACTTTACACAAACAAGAGGAGTGTGAAGCAAAATATTTAAACTCTTGAAACCAAACCCACCCATCTTGATTGTGTGAGCAGAAAAAACAGTCTTTTTAAGTGAAAAAGAAATAAAAACTCACAAAAACAAATTACAAATTTTTTTTATTTCATCCTTGTAGGAAGTTCAAAAGGAATGTTTCTGAGACAAGAAAATTATATAAGTAGAGCAGTGATCTATTTATGTAAGAAGAAGAGGGGCGTTGGAGGAGCTACTGAAGGCAACATACTTTTATTTTCCTAGTCTTAGCTGACCTAATAGATTTTAGTTTGTTCAAAGTAACAACAACGTATTTGGTAATTATAGGTTTGGATAAGTATCAAAATATATTGAATGACATTAACTATGTAACAAATTGGAGGGACAAATTAGGATTACTTTATTACGAGAAGGTATAATTACCAAAAAAACAAGACAGTGTTATTTGAAAGTGAACTTGGATTCATAGAAAATGTATGTTGCGGACTCCGCGTGGCGAGGTCCCAGCGCAGCCAATGAGCTCCGGGTTGCGGTGCTGAAATGCGCCCGCCGCTCAGCCTCCTCCTGGAGGTGTGCACCGGCTGCACCTTTGCTCTGCACTTGCCATCCATGCGACTGCCCCACGGGCGGAGACTGGAGACAGCTGAGAAGGCTCTGCTGTTCGTGGGAGACATGCACGTACTAAGATAAACAGTCTCCTGTGAACTAAGAGGATGTGCTCATAATTGATTAGTGATGGAATCAAGGACTGCTCAGATGTGGGAGGCAAGGTCACTGGGGTTCCCCTCAGACCTGGAGCACAGCAGGAGTACCGGAAGGAACACCAGGCCTACGTGTTCCTGCTCTTCTGTAGGGCCTACCTCTACAAACAGGGCTTTGCTCTCCCTGGCTCCAGCTTCCTGAATGTTTTAGCTGGTGCCTCGTTTGGGCCAAGGCTGGGGCTTCTGCTGTGCTGTGTATTGACCTCAGTGGGCGCCACTTGCTGCTACCTGCCCTCCAGTAATTTTGGCAAACAGCTGGGGGTCTCCTACTTGCCTGATAAAGTGGTCTTGCTTCAGAGGAAGGTGGCAGAAAACAGAAACAGCTTTATTATTATTATTATTTTTTTATCGTTTTTGAGACTTTTCCCCCTGACACCAAACTGGTTCTTGAACTTCTCAGCCCCGATTCTGAACATGCCCGTTGTGCAGTTATTCTCCTTCTCAGTTCTTACTGGTTTGATACCATACAATTTCACCTGTGTACAGACAGGCTCCATCTTGTCCACCCTAACCTCCCTGGATGCTCTTTTGTCCTGGGAGACTGTCTTAAAGCTGTTGGCCATTACGCTGGTGGCATTAGTTCCTGGAACGCTCATTAAAAAATTTAACCAGAAACACTTACAATTTAATGCAACGAGCAGCACTAATATCAACAGCAGAAAAGACATGTGATCTGGATTTCCTGTTTGCCTTGTCCCTAGATTCTTAATTGTGTCATGGATGTGGTCTTCTAAAGGTCCTTATTTTTTAAATTACATTCCACAGGTGATTTGGACACTTGGTTCATCTGTGTGCAGCATGTTGTCATAGAGGATACTCTGTGCTCTTGCAGTGAATTGTATCAGGTTTTGAAACCAGTCCTGGTTTAGCCAGACACTCTGCAAACTGGATGGCCACCTAGAAAGTCCTGTTTATATTTTATTGTCTAACAAGGAGCTCAGGCCAGCCTGTTGTGTTTGCCTTTGGAGATGGTGTTCATTGTCCTTGTCCACACTCTTTTGCAAAGTGATAGGTTGTTTGTTAAGTCCCTGTAGATTTATGTGATTAGTGATGATGACATTATGATGACATGATGGTCATTATGTGACTCCACATCACTGACATCCCTCTCCATTTTCCGTTAGGCTCTTGAAGAATGATTCTTTTGTACTTTTCTGTGATGACCTTACCTCTTCCATAAGGCAAGGGAAAAAAGCCAACACACCTCCTAGGACTTCCATGTAGACCTCAAATACAACTTGGTTTCTGTGACACTCTTTTGTTTAGACACACCGATATTACCACATTATGTCAAATCTCATGCTTGCAAGGCCTGACAGTTAAGCTGACTGCAAACAGACTTAAATATGAATGGAGCAAATTCTATGTTATAGGTACATTCTAGAAAAATTCTTATCCATCTGAATAAGGGCAGGGCTTACCTGAATCAAATGTCCACCCATGCAGTTTTTTATTCATCTTTTCTACATGAGAATCCCTTCTGTGTGTTCCTGCTAAGAGAGTGGATTCAGAACCTAGGCTATCAGCCATTATACCCTCTGAATGTTTTTTATTTGCCAAGAATAACTAAGGAATAATTGTATTTTATCTTTTAGTTCATGGGGAAAAACTTGGTTTCTGATTGCACTGTCATATATGTATACCATGGAACAAGCTGTGGTGTGTGTATATCATGGAATACTATTTTGTCATTAAAAAAAATAGAGACTTTACATCTTGTGTATTAACTTGGATGGAGTTGAAACACACTCTTCTTAGTAAAGCATCAAAAGAATGGAGGAGCAGGTATCCAGTGTACTCATACTAATATGAAGACAGTAGATGATCTAATACATACCCTTATAAGAGAAAAATTCAAATCAATTCAAGCAGGGGCAGGGGAACAAGGGAACTGGTAAAGGGGAGGAAGGAGAGAGATGGATGTTCTTTCATTAATAGGCACAATTCTTAGGGTATATGGCGCACCTCTTTGGGCCGGGACACAACTATAAGAGGGAATCTAACTGACAAATGCCAAAATTGTAACCTCTTACTTTGTACCCTCAAATTAACCTGAAACAAAAATGAATCAAATAAAATAAAATAATTGAATAAATTAATGTTTTCATATTATTAGAATAGTGCTTGCCATTTATAACAAATACTACATCATGATATGACTATGAAAATCCTTTCTAAATACTGTATACATGTCCATTTGTAAAAGCCCACCACAATTCATTTACTATTTCCAACAGGTCTTTTCTTTATTTAAAATTATTTATTTATTTAAAATTTATTTACTTATGTATTTTATTTATTTAAAATTCATTTACTCTTTCCAACAGGTCTTTTCTTTATTTAAAACTTAGATCCTGCTCATATGGAACATGTGTGTTAGTGAAAACAATTAATTAAACCCAAAAGAAAGAATTAGCAAAGTTGTTAGCAACCTCTATTTATAGCCACATTACCCAAGTTCAACTCCTATGTTTGACACATAAAAACCTGTGTGGTCTAGAGCCGCAAGGTTCAACAATACTTCACTGAGCATCTGCTTAGTCATTTGGTTGTTAAAATGAGCATAATAATAGTATGGTGGGCTGAATAATGCCTTGATGTGGAGAGATCCAAGTTATTACGGTGGGCTCAATATAAATCACAAGAGTGCTCATAAAAGGGAGGGAAGAGGACAGTAGTAGGAAATGTGACAACAAGTAGGTGTGACAACAGGGGCATTGGTCTGTGGTGAAGCAAAGAAGAGTTCGTGAGCCCGAGAACGTAGGCAGCCCTCAGAAAAGGAAATAGAAAGAAAGTCGGGTTTTCCCATATGAGCCTCCAGAGGGAACTAGCATGCTACTCATTCATTTTACCTCATCTGTGGTTACACCTTTGCCACCACTACATTAAAGCATCTTCATTGGCCAATCAAGAAACTATATGATGCATAATGACTAGTTTTAAATTGGATTTTTCCATCTATGTAATAGCCATTTCCACTTTCTCACTGGTAAAATATCTGAATTATTTGCCTATGTTTTCTTGTTATAAATAGAAAAGCACCAAGTGGGAACACAGCATGTATGGTATGAGCTCAATATTGTAAATAACCAGTTAACTCTATGCCTAAGTATACATAAATTGTATTTTATATGTTGTGTGAATATATACTTTGGCACAAATATATGTATAGATGTACATGTATGTCCATACCTGTGTGTTATCTTTAAAATATATTCCAATGTTTAGGTAGCTTCTCCTGATAAAGGGGCTAGAAGAAGGGCAATGAGTGATATCAATTCTCAGGGCATACACTACATGCAGAAGACAGAAAAAGCCATGAGTATACTTTGACATAGGTTGTTCTATTGACTATGTTTTGGAGGAGACATGAAACTAACGATTTCAGAACCAAGCCATCAAATAACCATCACACTTACATCAAGTGTTAAAGAATGTACTGGAAACTGAAATTAATGAAACCTGGCAATTTCTCTCAGGGATTTCGTTTGTGTTTGTGTTAAAAAAAAAAAGAGTATCACTCAGAACACATGAGTAGCAATATGAAAGCATGTGTTTCCAAACTAAGGTTTGAAATAGAATTGATAAAAATAGTCTGTACATTTGTTTAGGAGAAATTAATTACACTTCATTGTGATACCACAGCAACACCAAAGGAACTACATAAATTCTAGTACACAGTGTTAATTTCTCCTTATCATTGATGTTACTAATATGTCCCTACAGGTTTGATTTACTTCTGATCACAGATTTTCCTTCAATAGAGTAACTTTAGGTGGCAGCAGCCAAGAGCGCTTCTCTACGCTTTTCCCCTATGTCCTTCTCTTTGCTTATCATTTTGAGCACCAGCCTGGCCTCCTGGGACTCTGTTTTCATTTATATTTTACTTGTTTTGTGCACAAAAGAAGGAAAGTCTGAGAACTCACCTAACAATTAATAACAGCATATATTTAAAACAGACAAGAGAAATAAGTCTGAATTATCACACACTAATCGTTTTCCCTCTTTTACAGTGAGAACATTAATGACTCAGTATTAGGTAAAGGTTAGTATATGTAGCGATCAATACAGGGGTTATAGAATATTCCTACTCTAGGAGTAGTAAGCATGTTTGAGTAAGGAAATCCTCCTAATATGAGCTATGATGCCCGCAGGATAGAGGGAATGTGGAGATGTGAGAAAGAGAAAGCATCTTTGATAGTGGAAAGGGGTTAAATGATGCCCTAGAGGAGAGGGAGATACATGGGCCAGCACAGCAGCAGCCACACCATCTGCCCTACTTTAAAAAGGAATAAAGCAGATCTGGTAAAAGGGTGGCAGAGAAATAAGTCCATTGAAAACTGGGGTGGTGTCAATATCCTTTGGGTCCACCAGAGATTTCAATTTAAAGTTCTGCAAAATGGAGGTCAGAAACAAAAACAGCTCCATGCGGGCCAGTCCTTCTCCTGCACAAATCCGTTTTCCTGAAAATAACAAACAGAAAGAGTAATTACTCCTTGCATGCAGCAGTGGCTATGACAAATACTGTGTTAGTAACGAGAACAAAGAGGATGCACAATAACTCTTTTGTGAATTCTTGGACAGCTGGAGGAGTGAACAGATGAATGGATGGATGGAAGGAATGAAGGAAGGAAGGAAGGAAAATTGGTAGACAAATGAACAAAAAGCATGGACAAATTTTCGGTTCATGTAAGATCTGATCTTAAGGGGCACCATTCATTTAACAAATATTTATTAAGTATCAACCCATGTTAAGCACTTTATTAAGGATTCTCCTATAAAACTCCTATTTTAATGTTTTGATTTTCCATTTATATTTTTCAAGAAATACACACACATTCTCATGATTCCTGACCCTAGTCTGACATTCCATGATCTTCTTTCCGCTCTTCCATACCCTCTCCTATTAGCTCTAGTCACACACAAGCTTCATCATTCTCCAACACAGATTCTGTGTCAAGTTTTATGTCATGCTGTTCCTTTGCCTAAGACGCACTTTTCTTATATTACATTTAGGACACAGGTCAAATTTCATTTCCTCTTTATGCCCTTTGCAATTCCCTCAAGCAATAAAGTTCTGTCTGCTCAGAGTTTCCTTAACATTATATTAATTCTTCCACTGAAGCATATGTTATGTTCTAAGTGATTCTCTCCCAAATTTATGTATTGAAATTTAATCCCCAATGCAACAGTATTGGTGTGGCCAACAGAAGAGGTATGGCCTTTATAAGACGAATAAGTCACAGGGGCTGTGCACTCCTTGGCCTAATGATGCTGTCATTAGGAAAAGAGATGCAACGGAGACATTTCTCCCTTTTGCTTTTTTTGTCCTCCCACCATGGGACACGAAGAGAGCATTATCTACAGGAACAAGCTCTCACCACATACCATCACGACTTATGCCTGGATCATGGACTAACCTGCCTCTAGAACTGTGAGTAATAAATCTCACAGTTCTTCTGTTCTTTATAAATTACCCAGTCTTGGGAACTTCATTAGGTCATCACAAAGAGTTGAAAACAGCAGGGGTCATCTGGAATCATACATCTCTGTTTATTTTTGACTGCACTAAAATATGAATTTTAAAGTGAAGCCAAGTTCCTTGTCATCTTGGAATCTACAGTGCTAGATATAAAGCAGACATCAAAAGCCACAGAATGGCCAACAAACACATGAAAAATGTTAAAACCACCTTGTGATATCACCTAATCCAAGTGAAAATAGCCCACATCACAAAGCCAAAGCTGTAGCTGCTAGTACAGATGTGGAGAGAAGGGAACACTTTTATACTGTTGGTGGGATTGCAAACCAATATGCTTCTTTGGAAAGAAGTATGGAGAATACTCAAAGAACTCAAAGTAGAGCTCTCCTTCAATCCTGTAATCCCATCACTAGGTATCTACCCAGAAGGAAAAAAATGATTTTACCATGTGGACATATGCACTAGATTCACAGTTCAATTCAAATTGGCAAGATGTGGAAGCAACCCAAGTGCACATCAACTCATGAATGGATTAATAAACTGTGGTGTACATACACCATGGAATCCTATTTGGCCATAAAAATAGATGGAGACTTTCCATCTTTTGTATTAACCTGGATGGAACTGGAGAACATTCCACTTAGTAAAGTATCACAAGATTGGACAAGCAAGTATCTAATGTACTCAATACTAATATAAAACCAGTAGATGAACAAATACACACCTGCACAAGAGAACAACACAACTAAAGTCAAATTGGGGGTGGAGGAAGGAAGGAGGAAGAGGGAAGTATGGAGAAGGGGGGGGGGATTGTTAGGTGCTCTCATCTACCAGGCATAATGTAAGGGTATATGGCACACCTCTTGGTTAAGGGACACAGCTACAACTTAGGCTTTACTTAACAAATACCAATAATGTAACTTAATTGTCTTTAACCTCACATTAAACTGAAATATTTTAAAAGGCCACAAAATATACAATGGGGGTTCCATGTGCAGAGACTTGGCATTAACATCACAGCTATGGAAATCCAGTATCCAAAATACCTGATCATGACCAGACAAGGAACAGATGCTCTAGAACCACTTCAGAGTATCCATCCACATTCCTAATATTTCCCTTCCTCCATGATTATTAGGCAGAACTATCTTTAATTTAGAGAAATGTCCTGCTCCTGTGGTTGATTAACTCCTTTAAAATGTCCTGCATTCTCCCCATTCTGTTTTTTTCTGCCTCTTTTGGGGAAACTCAAATGTAATTTCTACTATGAGAACAGAATTCTTACTCCACTTTATACCTCAGTGTGGGATTTGAGAGGGCAGGGCAGGCATCTTCTCTCTCGGTCTGCTACACCTGCAACCTGTGCATTTTCCTCTCACATCTCTAGTCATACTGAATTATAATGAGCACAGTTACTCATCTACTTCCCTAATGTAGGAGTGACTTCTTAAGACTCCTTCCTTGTGCCTGATGTTATTTGTATTCCCAGAGCTCAACTTGGGGTATGAGAAACACCACATAGAAGATAATGAATGAAGATTTGGGGTTAGAGACCTTTCTTATGGTTAGTAAGGAAAGGATAAATTAGTTTTTCTCTTTTTTTCAGATTAATATGAGGTTACATAGGATTAGGTTACATTGTTTGCACTTATAAAGTTAACTCCAAGTCATAGTTGTATTCTTCACCCAGGATGTGTGCCATACACTCCTACATTGCACCTGTTAAGTAGGAACTTACTAAACCTCCTCTCCCCCTTCCTCCTTCTTGAATTGTATTGTGTTTTTCTCCCAGGCGGGCCTGTAGTTGTTTATCTACTAGTTTCAACTTAGTATCGAGTACATGGGATGCTTGCTTTTCCAATCTTGAGATACTTCACTTAGGAGAATGCTCTCCAAATACTTTTTTTTTAAAAAAAAGATGGTAACTCTGCATCTTTTATAATTACCTGGAAGGGTAAGTGAGTTCTAAGTTCTAGTAGGAGTTCTTAGGAACTTCAGTTATGCACCCAGTGGCAGAATTCAACCAACATTTACTTTAACTTTCTTGATTTGGAAAAACTGGGTTAATTCCTAAAGCCTCTCTAATCTGGCCCAACAGCAAGGAAATATAACAGGAGAAAGACATGGGCACTGGAAGTGGTGCTCTGATCACATACAAGGATCAATAGATTATGCCAAATCCAGAAGAGACGTCAGAGAAGTTCCAACTGATCCCCCAAAACAATCTTGTTCTCTGAAATATAAATATAAGTGAATACCCATTACCTGTTGAGAAAGGCATGAAGTAGTCACTTTTCTTAAAATTGCCACTGTCGTCCAGAAAGTGGCTAGGGTCAAACGTTTCTGGGTTGGGGAATTCCTTGCAGTCATGCAGCACAGATGTTAGGGATGTTAATATTGTTGTGCCCTGGAAACGACAAACATAAATGAACCAAGATATAAAGAAGTTATGGAACTGGAAGAAATAATGGTACCTGACTTTTGAATTCTCTTGAGCTATATATGAGGAATTAGTGGTCCAAGGAGAACAATAACATTTCCACCCAGACAGACTTAGTAATAAAAGACATGAAGTTAAGGCAGATGCCAGTGATCCTGCTAAAGTGGCAAGATAAATCACATTTGAAGTATTGGGTGCTCTGGTACTTTAGTGCTAAACCTTCTGAATTTTTCCACCTTATAATAAACCTTGGACATCAGTGTCTGCCTCCACTTGCTGCTCTATGTCATCATTTTAGTTTTCACAGAAATCTCATGTCAAAGTATGGTTTAAAATGAAAGCCTCTGTTGGCAGTTGAAATGTCTGCAGTATCTGTTCAGAGGGCACTTATTTATTTTTTTATATATTTTTAAAGTGTTTATTTAGGTCCTCCTTGATTTTTTTATTAAATCATAAAGAGGTAGATCATGTACACATTGATGCATTTATGGGATACAATGTGCTGATTTCATATACAATTTGGAATGCTTACATCAGACTGGTTAACATATCCCTCCTCTCATTTCCTTAATTATTGTGTTAAGACATTTATCATCATATGCTCTAATTTAAAAAATCATCTTCTGGGATAGTGACAACAAATACGGTAACAAGTGTAAAATGATTGTGTTCATCACTGGCATATAGTTTGTTTGTCTCCATTAAAAGTATGGGGGAGACATTCATTACAGATTAATCTTAGCTTTAAAATGCAGGTCAGCATCATCAGTTCAGTGAATGATTTGGGAAGCAGAACTTTTACATAGTCTTATGGACCTTGTCATAGATTTTTATTAATTATACATAAAAAGCAGAACAACTGCAAAGGAGAGATCTTTTGATGACACTTTATTACTGAGGAACTTTGCATAAACTAATAATGGCATAAGACTTTACAAATCTCATTTATTCTTTTCCCCTTGAAAATACAACTTTGGGTTATACTATTTTTAATTTTAGTAATAATATGACTTGGCTTCAATGGAATAGATTATCTGATAGCATAGCCACTAGAACATCTGGATGAATATGGACACCATGTGCATTGTACAGCTTCTAAGATAAAATTTGGTCTCAAGATTCCAGACATGGGAAAACATGAGAAAGGTAAGCCAATGGCTATAGTTACTTTCCAACTATGTTCACATCATGTCCAATTCTGGATCAGGGGAAAGGTCTTACATTATTATGACTGTCTATGGGAGATGGACGAATCCTTTCCAGGAGATAAATACTTCTGATACTCTGCATGTTTCCATTTAACCAAAAATTGTTAGGCATTTCAAAGATATAGCTAATTGGTCACAAGAAAAAAAATGAGGATAGGAAGGCAATAAAAATAGGCCCGCATATTGGAAGATTTCTACCTAATTATATTAGGCCAGCATTATCTTTACATCAGAAATGTGACCAGAAAATTATGAGGATATAAAATCACAGATCAAAATATATTACAAACATAAATACAGAAGTCCTGAATAATATGAAGCACTTCAAATCCAGCTGTGTGTGTAGACATGTGTATATTTAGAAAGGAAGGTGAAGCCAATATGTGTTATCATGCCAATAGAGGTGGAAAATCAATTTGATAAAATTAAACACAAATTTATGACAAAAATTCATACATAAATAAGGGAAGTTTTTCTAATCTGATAAAGAATATACACCTAAATCAACTTTTCTCAGCAGTGAGATGTTAAACCTCCATCCTTTCTTGCCAATGATAAATAAAACAGGGCTGCCCACTATCACCAGTTCTGTTCAACATGATCCTGGAAATCCTAGCCAGTGCGATAAGAGAACATAGAGAAATTAAGGACACAAGAATTGGAAAATGAGAACTAAGTGTAATATACATACTAGTATTAGCCCATATATAAAATAATGTAAATTTTTTTTACATTCCTCATGAAATCTACAGTCAAATTAGCAATGATTTGTCAATTTAGAAAAGTTGTTAGATTTATGTAAGAAGAATGATAAATTCAATTATGTAATATTGCCACTCACAAATAATAGGCACAAAGAAGTAGAAAAGTATAAATTTTATAAATTTATGACAAAAAATAATAATTATCTAGAAAAAAATTCAACAAAATATTTGCCAACCATTATACTGAAAACAAAATATTACTAAGAAAATAGAAGATTACCTAAATAAATTAGAGGAATAAATATATTCATTCACTGAAAGATTCAGTGTGTCAAGATATCATTTTTTTCTGAATTGATCCGTACAATATCACCCTGATAGAAATTCCACCAAAGTATCTGGGTAATTGGTAAAGTGTAATTTATAAAATATTTTATTTAGAAACATGTACACCTAAGGGTAGCCAAAATAATCTTATAGAAGCATAATAAATTTGGAAGAAACAACTGCCAGGTACTAAGACCTGTTCATTCTAAAGTATTATAGCTTCAAACTAAAACAACACAAAGTCCATCAAGCTGCCACACATCTGAGTTTTGCACTTCTCTCATCTTGTGGTGGTACAGGATTGGGGATTTTACGACTACTGCAGTCCCATATAGGAGAAAGAAACAGACCTTACTTGATTCTTCAAACAGACCTTACTTAGTCTGAGCGATATGATATCCTATAACACCATAATGACAGGGGACTTTAACACTCTTCTCACAGAGCTAGACAGATGCTATAAATGAAATTAAACAAGAGACTTAAATGAGACCCTAGAACAACCGTGCTAAACAGACGTATATCAAACACTCTATCCTAAAGATAAAGAATATACATGCTTCTCATTGTCCCATGGAACATTCTCCAAAATTGATCATCTTCTAGGACACAAAACAAGCCTCAACAGAATCAAAAGTATTGAAATTTTACCTTCCATCTTCTCAGACCACAAGGCACTAAAGGTGGAATTCAACTCCAACAAAAATGTTCAACCCCACACAAAGGCATGGAAATTAAACAACCTTATGCTGAATGACAGTTTGGTGCAGGGAGAAATAAAAAAGGAAATTATTAATTTCCTCGCGTGTAATAGTAATGAGGACACAAGCTGCCAAAACCTGTGGGATACAGCAAAAGCAGTCCTGAGAGGGAAATTTATCGCTTTAGAAGCCTACATTTTAAAAAAAGAAAGAGACCACATTAACAAACTCAGAAGCCATCTTATGGAATTGGAAAAAGAACAATCTAAGCCTAAACCCAGCAGAAGAAAAGAAATAGCCAAAATTAAATCAGAGATTAATGAAATTGAGAACAAAAGAATCATTCAGAAAATTAATAAATGAGGAATTGATTTTTTGAAAAAATAAATTAAATTGATAAATCTTTGGTTGACTAACTAGAAATAAAAAAGTAAAATCTCTCAATCAGAAATGATAAAGGGGAAATAACAACCAATGCCAGAGATGCAAGAGACTATCTCTGAATATTACCAGAAACTCTATGTCCAGAAATTTGACAATGTGGAGGAAATGGATCAATATTTCGAATAACACCCTCTCCCTAGACTTAGCCTGGAAGAAATAGATTTCCTGAACAGAACAATTTCAAGCACTGAGATCAAAGTAACAATAAAAAATCTCCCAACAAAAAAATGTCCTGGTGCAGATGGTTTCATACCAGAATTCTATCAAACCTTCAAAGAAGAGCTTATTCCCATACTGCAGAAATAATTCTAAAAAATTAAGAAAGAAAGAATCTTCCCCAACACATTCTATGAAGGAAACATCACCCGGATACCAAGACCAGAAAAAGACCCAACTAAAAAGGAGAACTTCAGACCAATTTTACTAACAGATATAGATGTAAAAATTTTCAACAAAATCCTAGCCATTAGATTACAGCTTATCATCAAAAAAGTCATACATCATGATCAAGTAGGTTTCATTCCAAGGATGCAAGGCTGGCTTAATATACACGAGTCCATAAACATTATTCACCATATCAACAGAAGCAAAAACAAAGACCATATGATCTTCTCAATTGATGCAGAAAAAGCATTCAATGAAATCCAGCATCCTTTTCTAATAGCATACAGGCATAGGTGGCACATTTCTTAAACTGATCAAAGCTATCTATGACAAACCCACAGCTAATATCTTACTGAATGGAGCAAAACTGAAAGCTTTTCCACTTAGAACTGGAACCAGACAAGGTTGTCCTTTGTTGCCATTACTATTCAACATAGTGCTGGAAGTTCTAGCCAATACAATTAAAGGTAAAACAAGGAAATAAAGGCATCCACATGGGAGCAGAGGAGGTCAAACTCTCCCTCTTTGCTGATGATATGATCTTATACTTAGAGAACCCTAAAGACTCAACCACAAGACTCCTGGAAGTCATCAAAAAATACAGTAATGTCTCAGGATATAAAAATCAATGTCCACAAGTCAGTAGTCTTTGTATATGCCAATGACAGCCAAGATGAGAAGCTAATTAAAGACACAGCTCCCTTCACCATAGTTTCAAAGACAATGAAATACCTAGGAATATACCTAACAAAGGAGGTGAAAGACCTCTATAAAGAAAAGTATGAAACCCTAAGAAAGAAAATAGCAGAGGACATTAACAAACGGAGGAAGATACCATGTTCATGGCTGGGAAGAATCAACATTGTTAAAATGTCTATACTTCCCAAAGCAATCTACCAATTCAATGCCATCCCTATTAAAATACCAGTATTGTACTTTTGAGACTTAGAAAAAATGATTCTGCATTTTGTATGGAACCAGAAAAAAAAAAAAAAACATATATCTAAGGCAGTTCTCAGTAATAAAAATAAAGCCGGCAGCATCAGCATGCCAGATTTTAGGCTGTACTACAAGGCCATAGTGGTCAAGACAGCATGGTACTGGCACAAAAATAGAGACATAGACATTTGGAATTCAATAGAAAACCATGAAATGAAACTAACAACTTATAGCCATCTAATCTTCAATAAAAGAACATATACTGGGAGAAAGAATCCCTATTCAATAAATGGTGCTGGGAGAACTGGATATTCACATGTACATGCAAAAAACTGAAACTGTACACACACCTCTCTCCACTCCCCAAAATTTATTCAATATGAATAAAGGACTTAAATTTAAGGCACGAAGTGATAAAAATCCTCAAAGAAAGAATAGGGAAAACACTGGAAGATATGGCCTAGGTAAAGACCTTATGACGAAGACTGCCATGCCAATTGCAGTAACAACCAAAATAAACAAATGGGACTTAATTAAACTGAAAAGCTTCTGTACAGCTAAGGAGACAACAACCAAAGCAAATAGATAGCCTATGCAATGGGAATGGATATTTGCATATTTTGAATCAGACAAAAGCTTAATATCTAGAATCTATAAAGAACTCAAATTAATCCACATGAAAAAAGCCAACAATCCTATATATCAACGGGCAAGAGAGATGAACAGAATCTTCTCTCAAGAAGAGAAGAATGGCTAGCAAACATATGAAAAAATGCTCATCATCCTTAATTATTAGAGAAATGCAAACCAAAACCACCCTAAGATGTTATTAACCCAAGTGAAAATGGCCCACATCACAAAATCTCAAAACTGCAGATGCTGGCACGGATGTGGAGAGAAAGGAACACTTTTACACTGCTGGTGGGACTGTAAACTAATACAAACCTTTTGGAAGGAAATTTGGAGAACCCTTGAAGAACTCAAGCTAGACCTTCCATTTGATCCTGCAATCCCATTACTAGGCATCTATCCAGAAGTAAAACAAAACCTTTTATCATAAGGACACTTGCACTAGACTGTTTATTGCAGCTCAATTTACAATCGCCAAAATGTAGAAACAGTGTAAATGCCCCCCAACCCAGGAATGGATTAACAAGCTGTGATATATGCACACCATGGAATACTATTCAGCCATTTAAAAAATGGAGACTTTACAGCATTTGCACTAACCTGGATTGAAGTGGAACACATTATTCTTAGTAAAGCATCACAAGAATGGAGAAGCATGAATACTATATATTGAATCTTGATATGTGGAAAATTAATGACAATAACACGGTGGGGGTAGGGAAAGAGAAGAGCAGAGAGAGAGAGAGAAGGAGGGAGGGGGTGGGGAAAAGGAAGAGCAGAGAGAGGGAAGGAGGGAGGGGGGTGAGGTCTCAGTGCATGACACATCTTGTACCCTCAATGAATCCCCAACAATAGAAAAAAAAAGTTCCTAACCTGAGATTCATCAACTCTTGTAAGCAATAAAATAATTTGAAAAAAATTAAAATAACAAAATAACTAACTAACTAAATAAATAAAGTATTATAGCTCCAAACTAAAACAACACAAAGTCCATCAAGCTGCCACACATCTGAGTTTTGCACTTCTCTCATCTTGTGTTGGTATAGGATTGGGGATTTTAAGAGTACTGAAGTCCCATGTAGGAGAAAGAAGTTTACCTTGGGGATCAGGTAATTTCTGAATTTAATATCATAGGTCATTGCACGAGGGAGGTTGTTGGGGACAAGGTCAATGTATCTCTGGACCTCATGCACCATGGCATCCGTGTAGGGCATGCGGCTCCTGTCCCGCATGCAGGGGCTCCGGTGTCTGCCAACCACGTGGTTGATTTCTTTCTGACTTTAGCTGATAAGATACAAGTCAGAGTTGATGAAAAAGGAGAGAACTGGACATTTGTCATAAGAATCAGGGTTATGCTTATGAAAGTAACCCAAAGTCATTATCAACTAAAATGATAGAGGTAGAATTACCTATAGACTCAGAGACATATTATAATACAAATGCATAAACTATAAGCTAGGCATTAAACTAAATCTTTATATATGTATGTGTATTGACATACATAATAAGTACTACAAAAAATGATAAAATGTTTGATTACATAAAGTATGAATGTAGCCATCATGAAATTACTATATTGCAAGTATAAAAAGAGAAATCAAATATTAATTTCATATCAAAATATGAGGTTTTAAAAATTAAAATGTACTAAATGAGTTATATGTAGTTATTTGGCTGTGTGTGTGTGTCTGTACCATGTGCAATTGTACTCTCTTGAACTTCCCACTTCTGAAATGTAAATGTGGGCACTTTGGACATTCCCCAGCTCCTTTGGAAAAATATTTTCATTTTGCTAAGTAAAGATTGTTTCTATCTTATCCATTTGTGGATAATATTTAATGATTTCTCACTTTGGGAGATGAAAACTTTAGTCTCTATCTCCACCTCATATTTGGACACACTCTCAAATATATACACAAAAACACACTTCTTTCACTCCACTCATTATCCAGAAAATTTAGACTACAATTTAAAGAATTAATTATATTCATATTCCTTCATTTTCTATGCCATTCATTTTTTTTCAGAGTAAAAAAGAGAGATTTTACTAGGAAGAATAAGGAGAAAGTCAGTGCTCTTCTAAAGATAGTGAAAATGGGTCCCTCGTAGGAAGAAGAAAAGGTGAGAGAAAACTGTTTACATTATTCTAACTACATAAATGTTCATCCCTGGTAAGATAGCTATGATCGCCTTCCATTTTTGTTACATCCTTGAACTTACAGGTCTCTCTTTACTTGAATTCATAATTTCAAGTAAAACAATCTCAGAATTGTTTTACTTGAAATTATTTTCAGGTTTTGTTTTACTTCGGGAAAAAAATTTCAATTTTTTTTTCAATTTTTTTCAATTTTTTTATTTCCCTAGTTAGAATTATTTCCATATTCTCGAGTAGTGGTTTCAAACCACCACTAATAATTTCCTACCTATTGGGAACCTCAGACTATCAATCACTTCTCTGTTGGAGGTATCCTGTACTCTATTCTTCCGACTTTAAAGACACTAATTCTCATTTATAAGTTAGTGGCATTTTAGTGTGATCTTGACACATAAAAAAGCATCTGTTGTAAATACACAATTTGTTAAAGGCAAATTTCTAAAGTATTATAAAAGATATAATTAGTGCCCCACACCTCAAAAATATTTTTATTTTGTCAAACACCCATTTTATGGAACAGACTTCTGGAATAATAAGCTTCTTTAAGGTACATCTTTTACCTATATAGAGACATCTTACTTATGGAGCTTTTTAAAATCATTTCCAGCCTGGAAATTATCTCAGGTAGCCTCATGAAATGTCTAGGTTTTCCAGTTTGATTCAGTAAGGAGAGTTTCCACTTTCCCTACTTCAATATTAGAACATGGAATTTTCATACTTAGGAAAGGTATTTTTAAAAATATACTTGCTGTTCAAAGTTTCTTTTTCATAATAAAGCCAATATGTACTCCTAGGCCAATTTTGGTTGCCTGACTGTTATAAATTACCACCCAGGAAATCCAGACACTGTACCAGAGCTCTATTGCTACTCCTACTGCCAAGACGTCTTCACTTCCCTCAGTCAATGTCTTCTGTTATGCCAAGATGTCCCATTTTAATCACATCACTAAATTTGGACTGATTGTCAACCCAGGAATGGATTAACAAGTTGTGGTGTATATATACCATGGAATACTATTCAGCCACTAAAGTAGAAGGAGATTTTACATCTTTTGTATTAACCTGGATGGAGGTGGAACACATTTTCTTATGAAACTTACTAAATGTAGAATATAAATGTCTTAGCACAATAACTAAGAAAATGCCATGAAGGCTATGTTAATCAGTTTGATGAAAATATTTCAAATTGTATATAAAACCAGCACATTGTACCCCATGACTATATCATTGTACACAGCTATGATTTAATAATAATAATAAAAAAAGAATGGAGAAGCAAGAATACAATGTACTCGATTCTCATATGAAAACAGTAGATGACCTAATACGTGGGGGGAATAGGGGAATGAGGGAGCAGGAAGAGAGGAGGAGAGGGGGCTTAGGGTGTCATGGTATATGACACACCTCTTGGGGATGGGACACAATTATAAGAGGGAATTTACTTAACAAATGCAATCAGTGTAACCTAATTCTTCATACCCTCAATGAATCCGAAACAACTATAAAAAATTGAACTGATGCCAGCTGGTGGTACAGAATTTCAAATAATGTCACTTTCTAAGTGAAACAGGATGGAGGACACCAGCTGTGTCTTCCCAACATTACTTCTCATCACACACTGCTCATATCTGTGCTCATACCTGTGACTTCTGGATGCTTCAGCAGGAGCAAAAGGGCATATCTCAGGGTTGTGCTTGTTGTCTCTAGCCCAGCTCCAAAAAAGTCAAGTGCAGTGCTTACTAAGTTTTCAAAAGTAAACTCCGACTGTTCGTTGTACTTTTCCTAGGAATAATTGAATGGAATCATCTTATAAATTCATATGCCGACATATTTAATCACAGTGAATCCATAATAACTCACATTGTTGCAAAATTATCAAATAAAGAGAGAAGAAAGTATAATATTAGGAAAAACTACTGTATGGTTTACCACAGGCTGTAGATCAGTTAATCCAAACATCACTTACTCCCCCCTTATACCACACTGGCCAAAAATGCCATTCATCAAACTCTGCAGTTAGCTAGTCAGGGAGCATGGTTTTGCCAAAATTATCTATTCAGCCACTAAAAGAGAATGCATTCCACTTCCATCCAGGTCAATACAAAAGATGTAAAGTCTTTTTCCCTTAGAAAAAAACATACAGAGGAACCTACAACTATTACTGCACAACCAGTTCCTAGGCCAGAATTAAATTATTAATGCCTTTATAGTTCCCAGGTTACCTGCAGCACATCTAATATTATGGAATCAACACATAAAAATAGACTAGACCCTCTCAACATGTGTACTTGTTATGCAAAGACAGCCATCTCCCTTGATAACATCAGTTTCACACAGTTTTCTAAGCTTCTCAAGTTAAAATTACTCAGAAATCAATCAAAAGAAATCTACTCAAAACCCAGTATTAGTATTTCCATCTGTTGAGATAAATTTGGTTATTTAGCAGTTATATACACATAGCCTCATGATTAATCTAGATTATACAAATTGATATTGACAGAAAGTTTTAAAAATTTGAATCGGTGGAAAAATATTCCATGTCATAGATGAAAATGCTAATATTGTTATGAAAATATTATAGAATACTGTCATACAGTAGATCAAAAAATTCGGGAATTAATCCCCTCATCAAAATCAAAGTCAATACTGACTTGATATAACTGGTATATATTCATCATGAATTAACCATTTTCCAATATATACTGTCCTTATATGCTTCTTTTAACAATTTTGGTTGAAATGTCTTTTATGTGATATTAGTATGGCCATCCTAGCTCTCTTTGGCTACTACTTATGTGAAAAATCATCTCCATCATCTTTCACTTTCAGAATGTTTGTGAATGTGGATAAAAAGTGCATCTCTAGCTCATACTTGTAATCCTACCACTCTGAAAGACTGAGGAGGGTGGATTGTCTGAGCTCACAAATTAGAGACCAGCCTAAGCCAGAGTGAGACCCTGTCTCTAAAAATAGTCAGGTGTGGTGAGTGCCTGTAATCTCAGCTACTTGGGAGGCTGAGGCAAGAGAATCACTGAAACCCAAGAATTTGAGGTTACTGTGAGCTGTGACGCCATGGCACTCTACCAAGGATGACGAAGTGAGACTGTCTCAAAAAAAAAAAAAATTGTATGTCTTTTATAGAAACCATATGGTTTTTTAAATTTTTCAATACTTCACTTTTAATGGTAAGTTAATCCATTTACAGTTAGAATGACTAGCCTTATTAATATACTCACTTCTGGTATAATGCTGTTTTTTTCTATATGCTTTATATCATTTTTGTTGCTCTGTTCCTACAATTTACCTATTTTTAATCTGTTTTTCTAGTGAAACTTTTTGATTCCCTCTTGATAACTTTTTCTTTATATTTTGAAATGACTTTCTTAGTAGTTATGTTGGGGATTTACTGTTAATATATCAAAGTTGTAACTACCCACTTTGAATAGATACCAAATTAGATTCATATTGTATACATTACCTGCTATTATCTAACTCTATCTTCCTTAAGTTGTTGTCATAAACTATACTTATATATAGTGTGTCCAGTAACATAGATTTATAATTGTTATTTTATGCACTTTTTAAAATCTTAGAAATAAAAAAAAGTAGAGCTATATGCAAAATAAAATACGTTTGTACATGTAATTATCCAGTTGCTCTTAATGGGGATACATATTTCTTTGTATGGCTTTCATTATCATCTAATGCCCTTTTGTTTCAACATGAAGCTGCGATCCTTTCACATTTCTTATATGGCAGATCAATTTGTGAGGAATCTCCTCTAAGATTTTGTTATGTATTAGAATGTCTTTATTTCTCCTTTAATTCAGAAGGGTAATTTTGCCATCTATGGGATTCTTGGTTAATAGTACTTTTTCCTGTCAGCACTTTCAATATATTATTTCACTCATTTCTGTCCTCCATAGTTTCTGAAGAAAAATCAGCTGCCTTTTATTGGGGATCCTTTCTATATGATAAGTAATTTCCCTCCTACTGCTTTCAACATATTCTCTTTATCTTTGTTTCAGAACAATGTGATTAAATATGTATTGTATGAATCTTTCTGGTTTTATACTTTTTAACATTTTCTTAGGTATGTATGTTAGTTTCTTTCATAAAAATTGGAAGGTTTTTGGCCACTATTTCTGGACACTTTTTTCATCTTCCCTTTCTGGGACTACTGCAGTGGGTATATTGGTAAACTTGCTTATAGTACTGTAGCTTCCTTACCTATATTCATCTTTCTTCATACCTTTTCCTTTCTGCTACTCAGAAAGGGAAATTTAACTTGTCCTACTTGATGTTTGCTGTTTATTTCTTCTGCCTATGAAAGTCTACTATTGAAACCGTCTGGAGAATCTCTGTTTTCTTTCAGCTATTGTATTTTAGCCCTAGAATGTCTATTTGGTTCCTTTTACTAATTTCTTTCCAATTATTGCTATTACATATATTTTTACAGGTTGTTCTCTTTATTTTCCTTAGCTCTTCATACATGATTTCCTTAAACTCTCTGAAGATACTTAAAACATTTAATGTAAAGGCCTTATCTAGTAAGTACAAACTTTGTGCTTCTTGAGATTATTTTCTGCCACTTTCTTTTTTAAGATATTAATAGTTCATATTCTGTGCCATTTTGGGTTAAGAATTGGACATTTAAGGGTGGCACCTGTGGCTCCCCATATGCTGGATTGGGGTTCAAACCCAGCCCTAGCCAAAGAATGCAAAACAGAAAAAAAAAAAAAAGAATTGGACACTTAAAATATTGTAATATATTAACTCTGGAAGTAAGAATTTTTCTGCTTCTAGTAATTACTCTTGTTACTTTGTAAAGGTTGAATTCATCCATTTGCTTAGTGTCTTTTCCTCCATGTGAGATGCCAAACTACAAAAATTGGCCAGATGCTTCCTTCAGCAAGGACTCCTCAAATGCTACAAGTTTTTGACTAGACTCCAGGGTGCCAACATAGTTTCTTCAGACAGTTTATACCAGGTCAATATTTGTTTTGGTTTTGGTGGAAGAACTAATTCCTGAACTTTCTGATCTTCTATTTTTGTGGCATTTTTCTAGTAATTTCCTCATAACAATATTACCATTTCCATCTATGACATGAAATATATTTCCATTCATTCAAGCTTTCTTTAATTTTTGTCAACACTGTTTTATATAGCCTAACATAGTTGTGAATTGGTATATCTATAGCCATAAAGAACCCAATTATAAATACATATGCACTAGTCAAGAAAGCCCCAAATATTTTAAGGCAAACATTAATGGAATTAAAGGGACAAATAGACAGTTCCACAATTATAGTAGGAGACTTAAATACCCAATGTTTAATAATAAATAGAACATCTACACAAAAATATCAACAAAGAAATAGAATATTTGAAACACACTAGTTATTGACTACACCTAACAGCCATACAGGAACCCTTCATATAACAAACAGCAGAGTATACATGCTTCTCAAATTTACATAAAACTTTCCCCCAAAAGAACCCCAATATGTTTGATTATAAACAATTCTCAATGAATTCACAAATATAAAAATCACATAATATCTTTTCTGACCACAATGTAATGAACTTAGAAATCAGTAACAGAGGGGAAAGCAGATGATAAAGAATTTGAACAACCAATAGGTTAAAGAAGAAATTAATAGGGAAATTTGAAATATATTAAGAGGTAAATAAAATTGAAAATATATCAAAATAATGACATTACTGTCATACTGGTTTTAATTCTTTTAAATTTATTTGGTAGATTATAGCAGTGAAATCACATCTTGTCTTGGATTTTTCATTTTAAAAAATTTGTGGTTGCTATGATCTAATAAAAAATAAATAAAATAAATAAAATAAAATAAAATAAAAACAGTATGACTCAACTTTGTCCAAAGTTAAAAAAAAGAAAAGGGTGGAATCCTTAATGTACTCTATGAAGCCAGTATTACCCTAAGACCAAAGTCAGACAAAGATACCACAACAAAACACCAATATCTCTTGTGAATATAGATACAAAAATTCACAACAAAATACTAGTAACCTGAACCTAACAGCCCATTAAAAGTATTGCACACACACCCATAAGCTAACTTAAAAATGGGGTGGCACCTGTGGCTCAGTGAGTAGGGCAATTGCCCTGTATGCCGAGGGTGGCAGGTTCACACCCAGCCCCGGCCAAAACTCCAACAAAAAATAGCCGGGCATTGTGGTGGGTGCCTGTAGTCCTGGCTACTCAGGAGGCTGAGGCAATATAACTGCCTAAGCCCAAGAGCTGGAGGTTGCTGTGAGCTGTGTGATGGCACAGCACTCTACCGAGGGTGATAAAGTGAGACTCTGTCTCTAAAAAAAAGAAAAAAAAATGGGTACAGAACTTGAGTAGACTTTTCCCCTAACAGGTATATAAGTGGCCTATGAGTACATGAAGAAATGTTCAACATCACTAACCATTAGGGAAATGTACATAAAAACCACAATAAGATGCCATTAGAAGGGCTACCACCAAAAAATAAGAAAGAGAGCAATGTCAGTCAAATGGCCATATAGATACCCCTGGCACTCATTGTCTTTTCAAACACAGCCAAAACAATGAGCATACAACTACATTTTAAAGAAAATAACTAAAACAAGAGTACATCAAAGAAATACCAGAAATGCCAGAACTCAGGATAGACATATAGAGAGTAGAAAGAAACACTAGGGAGAAAAGAAAGAAGGAAGGTAGGAAGGCAAGGAGGAAGGAAGGAAGGAAAGAAGGCAGGAAGGAAGGAAAGGAGGGT